TCTGAGTTAGTAGTACAATTAAGACAGTATGAATCTGAACATATTTTTGAACTATGAAAATGGGACAGAGACTCATTGCTTGAATCCTCTCTATTGTATCTTGAGAACTTTCAATTTGTTTAAAATATAAATTTGTGGACACAGATACACAAAATTCTGATAAAAGACCTGGATTTTATCAGAAAAATGGGCAAAAGTTAAAAAAAGAAAAATCCTCTAAAATTAGATTGCAGAGAAGCTTACTGGAGAGCAATTACACAATAAAAAATTATAATAACAGATTTGAGGTTGGAAGGGAAATATTTACCTTGACTTATGTATGTATACACAACATATGGCTACGTGAGGAAGATCAAGCTAAAAGTAGAATTCAGAATGGACATTTGCCTTTGAATATTAAGATGTATTATGAAAATCAATTTCCTGATCTAGGCAAGTATTTGATGTTTGTGTTCTGCAGTCTTGGGTATATGAAACAAAAATACTAACATCCACCTAGAAAATGGAATAAAATCCATTAGCTTGCACACAGAAATGAGAAGGTCATTAGTCTATTTCAGAGTAAAGAGGGAAGAATAAAAAGAAAAAGAAAAAAACAACAAAACAAAACAAGATGTTTTTTAACTATTAGGAAGAAACTGAAGTTATTTTTCAACAATTAAGTAGAGAGAATTTGATAGAGGACTGAATCTTATCAGTGTATGACAAATTTAATTTTCACTCAGCATAGCAATTTGATTTCTATTAGTTGCAGATCTCCCAAGCCCTCAACTGAGGCTGAGAAACTTCCAAAACCACAGGCAGGTACAAGCTGGGTAGGAATTCCTGCATCCTCTTCCCTTACCCCTTTCTTTAAACCCTTTGGGGTATCTGAGTATTTCTTTGAGCCCAAAGGAATGACTTGGTGCTGCAGGTTTCAGATGCTCAGGCTACATATACCTGCTCCTACTCTTAGCAAGTCATCTCTGAGTGAGTCTTACAGAAGTATGTTGATCTGTAGACAGCTAGTTTATTTATTCTTAGGGAGCTTTCGTCTGCACTTTGAAGGGAAATATTCTATATTTAAAATCACTCTTTTTTCCATACAGAACAGTTGATTCAGCTAACTTTAATGAATTTTAAAAGCACTTGTAATTCTAATTACAGTAATTATTGCTTCAAATCCAAAAGATAGAATGTGTCAAGTCAAAACTAATATTGCTGTCATTTAACCCTGTCGCAGGTATTGGCAGTGGACAATTATGAGTATCTTAGTGATGATACCCATTTCAGGCTACCAAAAGTATTCTTCTTTCAGTACCATTATATACGTTTATGCTTCCAATTTCAAACAACAACTAATAGCATAGAAATTTCCCAATGCAATGCCATCACTAGCTGACCACATTTCTAAACCTTTGAACTACTCTGTATGCTTTCATGATGTACCAGTTCTGAAGTAATTTGTGCCTAGGCTACATGGAAACGGGCATTTGAGTAATGAAGAAATGCTCAGGCATTATAACATCATGTTTTAAAATATCTGTTAAAATGGCATGATGTGTTCCTCTAGTAAAGGGGTAATGCATGCAACCTTTCTTTTGCTGTTACATCCTTTATAATTCATCAATGGTAACATTGAATGGATTAAGCAGAAGCTACTTAGAAATACATTGTAGATGAAATTTAATGACTTGCTAATCTGACTTCTTTTTTTTGTTTAAACACTCTTGGAAGTGAAGGACTGTGCAGGCAGGACAGTGGACCTTCAAACTTAGCAAGGGAGAGAGGAAGAATAATTGTTTAGCTAGGAGAGAACTCACAAAAATCTGACTGAATGAGTAAACTATAGATTTACACGGGTTGAGGCTTCTGCTGTACAGTTCAAGGTATTGCATGCTTTTTGGAGTGTGTATATAAAACGCAACGTCAGGACAGGATTTGCTGGCAGTGGAGAAAGCTAAACATCATGTGCCGCATTGCCAAGGGGTAAGCTCCGTGTCATATGATGAGCAAAAGCCTTCACCACCTCACAGCATCCCATTGCTGTCATGTCTCCAGACATGTCTGTGCTCTGTTACTGCTCTCAATTGAGTATGACCACTTTGAAAGGATCTGTTTGCCCCAGGAGGGCTGCGATATCTCTGCTCTAGTGATGAGAGAAGGTGTGGCTTTTGAAATGGAGGTACTTCTATCGAACACACATACCTTTTAGTGTACAAATTACATTTGGCTTTAAGCTGAAACAGAGGACATTTGGATTGCATAGTAGAAAGAAATTCTCTGTGAGGGTGGTGAGGCACTGGCACAGGTTGCCCAGAGAAGCAGCCACATCCCTGAAAGTTTTCAAGGCATCAAAGACACATCTCACCGAGGTCTTTAGACAGCTTTTTGAGGGCACAATCTCCATAGCAGACCCAGTTTTAGTTGTGTTTGCAAGAATTGTTTTCCATGTTATTTAGGGTCACTCAGAGGATGCAGAAATATATAATAGCCAAAGTGAAGTAGGATTTCTGAACGTGGTGCTCTGGGATTTAATGGTAGCATGGGCAAAAGACAGTTTATAACTGGGAAAGTACTTGTATAAATTATCTTAGAAGAAAATTGAACAAGGAGTGCTCTCAAATGACTCTATTTTGTTCCTAGAGATTAGTCTACACAACAGGCAGGGCATGTGCTTAGAGGAACAGCATCCATTTTCCTTCAAAACTGAGTTCTCTGTACTGCCTAAGTCAATTTTCATATTTTCTTTGCTTTTTTTTTTTTTTTTTGTCTTTCTCTGATCTTTCCATTCCTTTTTGAACAAGGATAAACTTTATGATGGTATGCTTAAACCAAAGCTGAACTCCTCTTTCATTCTATTGCAGACATTGTGAGTACCACTAAAAATGCATATTGCTGAAAAGACTGATTTGCTAAGAATAATAGCACACACATTCCCTTCACAAATGTATTGTATATTGATTTTTTTAATTAATAACTTTGACAAGTGTCAGCACTATTTTATTTTTCTTTTTTTCTTAATGTGGTCTTTACATTATCAGCTCGAGTATTAGCATAAATTTCATGGGATTTTCTGGGCATATTTTGTGTCTGTATCTAAGATATATGATATCAACTGGCAGTGATGGTTGAGCTAATCAAACACTACTGACAAGTTAAAGCAAATTTTTAGGACTGTGAGATTTTCAGCATCTTCCCAGATACAGTATCTCGTGACTGAAAGCAGTCCTTGACTGTCAAGTTTAAATACCAGATTTGGGACTTAATCTTTATGTAAGCAAAACACCCCAATAAAAAAATATGTCTGTGTAAAGCCAAAAAGTCAGGTCCTCCCCTTAAACCTAGCCTGAAATGCATGTGTGTGTTTGTTTATGGCCCTATCGCCATGGTATGTGAGCAATTCCAACCAGTGGGAACCAAACATGACTCTTAACTGAATGTACTTCTATTTTCTTTTTAATTTTTTTTTTCTTGGCATTTGTTCCTTCTAGCAAACATTTTTAAAATCTCTCTTATTGCTAGAGGGAAAATTGACACCCTTTGCTTTCACGATGATACATTCCTAACACGTTTCCTTGAAGAGCTGGAAATGGTGCAAAAATCTGGTAAGATAAGTCTCTATAAAGCCTTGGAAGTCAAGCATTCCACTTTAGACATTTAAGACAAATGCATGGAAAAAACAAGTTGGGTTTTTTTAAGGTTTCTACTTAAAGTTCTGTGCCAAAGCTACAGTACTTATACATTTTCTAAATGTGTTTTAAGCAATAAGTTGTACAACATTTTTAGAACATGTGTTAAGCTATTTCTCTAAGAATGAAGCTCTTAACAAAACATAAGCACTCTGCATGAGATCTTAGCAGCGAAGTGCTTAAAAGATAAAGTAAGAATTGGTACCATGGGAAGAACACCAGCTGTAGAGCACACAGGTCCATTATGAGAAGTATGGTAGTGGGTAGGGAGAAAATGATTTAATCAGGAGTAAAACCAATTTTATTATAAGGGCACACAGGGGGTGTGGCACCATAGTGAGAGGGACATTTCAAAATATCTGACAGATTTCAACAATGTGAAAACCCACCCTGTTCTTTAAAGTGACAGTAAACCCCATCAGGTCTCTCTTTTTGATGCTATTGTTAACAGTTGACTGTTTAAAGCTGTCCTGCTAAGATGCTGTCGATCTAGTTCAATAGCGTGTGGCAAAATAAAAGGCTAATTGTTGAAATACGATCAATCAAATATGATCTTAGAGTCTAAAGAAGATCCCCTCTGGTAACTCATTTGAGATCAAATCATTATTTTTATGATTGAGGTAATTCAATAAAAAAAAAAAAGAAGAAGCTTGAAACCAAAGAAGCAAGAAAGACAGCTAACTGATATGCACAAGTCTGCCTTTGTTGCAGCTTTGTCTCACATTACTCCAAGTTAAGAAATTGGGTGCAATCCTTTATTAGTATACATTTCCTGAATCCAGAAATTTAAAAGCATTTCATAATATTTATTACATAAAAATTTAAAGATGACTTCATTGTGAATAAGATTTTCTGTCCAAAATTAAACTCCATAGTGAGAAAACTATTGCATTAAAGTACCAACTATCAGGAGTTGTGGGTGTCCATGTGTCTCAAATACTTTTACCATTTTGTTTAACAACATTTCCGTAAAGGTGCTGTTCTTGAAGCAAACTGAATTGGTAAACGTGAAATTTCAGTGACATTTAGTGAAACATTACAGGATCATGTTGCTTCAAATTATTTTTTTTCAGTAGTTTTTATAATTGCTCCCCAAGTTGCATTCACACTGAAATTTTCTTAAAAAGAGATTCATAGCACATGCGAAAAAAGCAAACTCCAGTTCTGGAGCAACAGAACTTGGAGAAAGTGTGTGCCATGTTGGCTTGGACTAATAAGGATTTGTACTTTCCTAGAGTTTTATATGGATTATGATCTCACTGTTTATTATATTCTAACAGTATCACACCACCAGAATTAAAAAGAAAAAAACAAAACGAAAAGAAATACAATAATCATCCAATCTTGTTTTATTTTTATTAGAAACTCTATTTTAGGATTTAGTTTCTTTTATATTTAAATTCTTTAGCTCAGTCAAGCTTCAAAAGAAAATGCTTTTTTGTTTGCAAAACAGTTTTGTAAGCACTTGTGGTTTGTCTTTAGTGCGTTATCATTTTTGACAGCTTTGCATAGCCTAGGTAGGCCAACAGGGGTCTGTCTAATATTGTTGCTGGGCAAATCTTCCTCCCAGAGATGAAAACCAAACAAAATATATTTAAAGCAGTAAGAAGGAATTAATATCCTTTCTCTCACAGTACTCTATTCCTTACTGACATTACATTCAGGCAAAAAAGGAGAAAAGCGTTACCCATTATTCCCTTGTACATAGCAAGGCTAACACATGTAAAGCAATAACTCATTTTCTATTGCCATGTTTAGCATATGTCTCCTGTTGGCTCAGCAAGGCCTTTAGGCCGGTCCCTTGAGCCGTCCATCGTTGGCAACTCTTAGCCCCTCGGCCTCAAAACCAATAGCTTTGAATCATGTTGAGCTGTGATGCTAATTTTCATACTGATGCATTATGGGAATAAATGTATCTGACATACTGTGTCAATGGTACTGTCTCTTTGTGTCTCTTGTTTTTTGTTAGCTGCATTCCTACAGATGGTATTCCATTGAAAATGTTCTCTTCCTACAAAAAAAAAAAAAAAGGGAAAAAAAAAACATGCACAGCACCAAACCTCTAGGTGCAGAAGGCTGTTAACGGTTGCTGATGATAGTAGGCAAACATTAACATAATAATTAGTGTCTTGTAATTGTTTCATTAAAACCAGTTGTTCCATTTCTCCTCGTGTTTTCCCAGAAGAGAAGCTGAATTTGGACGACAGCCAGTGGGAGGACATCCACGTTGTCACCGGAGCACTCAAGATGTTTTTCAGAGAGCTGCCTGAGCCGCTGTTCCCATATTGCTTCTTTGAACAGTTTGTGGAGGCGATAAGTAAGTACATCAGATACAGTAGATGCTAGTGAAATAGCCTATTATATAAAAATAATAATAAACTTAAAAATAGAACAGAGGCATCTCAGTTCTGACTCACCTTCCGTTATTCACAATCCTGTCTTTTTATTGGTTTTAACTGCCTTTTATCTCAGGCAGCTTTTAGTTATTTAAGCAGTAAAAAAATACCAAATTAGTGATCTATAAATTTTGTATATGCGATTTAATGGTAGCATCTAAAATGGTTTAGGAAAGGAATTAAAATGTGTATGCATTCAAAATGTGCTAGGCTGATAATCCATATATCCCCAAACATGAGAGAGACTAATTGTGAATCATGTTAGAAGTTGCTGTCTTTATACTAATCAGAATGAAATGTATGTGTTTTGTTCCACAAGTTTGCAGACTCTTGCCTTACAGTGATCACAAAAAGAATGCAAAAACATTCATGTTCTTATTTTCATATCTATCTTTGCTTTTTTTTTTTTTAAGTTGGCAAGCATCAGAAGCATTTTCAAAGTCCAAGGCATTTATTCTGTTACATGTCTCTGAGTTTTGTGTGCTGTAAACTGTCTCTGTATTTAATATACGTAGGTGTATTCTGTAAAATTATCAGCTTGGAAAAGCTTTACTAAAAAAGAGTGATTTGGGGGTTTACTTCTTTTGGAAAAAGGAGGCGGGGGGGGGGGGGGGGGGGAAGAAGAAGGATAGCTTAAAGTGAAAAAGCCTAGTAGGAGATTAATTAAAGATCCAAAATAGAAAAATCTCTAGGAAGAAAACAAACCAAATAAAGTACTTAGAGATCTGTTTTCTGAATGACGGGCATGCATATTTGCCATTACTGTTACTGAGAGATGTGTGTGCACATGCGCAGCTGTCAGAGAATACGAAACTCTTAATGTACAGCTCACTTTGATTCTATATTCATAAGAGCCTTTAGTTCAACTAAAGCTTTTCCAGACCGAGCATCACATATAACGAGGTTAAACACATCTCACAAGATCTTTCCCTTCTGGGTTATTTAAAGATGCAGTGTTATTAAATGCACAAGGTAAAGAAATGCATTACATGAAAGTTTACTCTTGGTAGCTCACTTTCTTCTTCTTTCAAAGGAAACTAGGTGGAGAACATCAACTCTCTAGTTCTGATTGTGGAACCCCAGCAGTGCTAAAAGGTGAAAAACTGCAAAGGATTTCTTAAATGTTCACCTTCAGTTCCTGTGATGCACTGCAATAAGATGCTTATTGAAGCACCAGAACTTGAACATGCCCTTTGGGTGGTTCTCCATCCACCTGCTATGTCCTGTTGGAAAGAGCAGGACACAGTGCCTTAAGTGGATGCAGACAGTTCATGGGGCACAGCATAGCATGCCATTCATGTCTCTTCTTATGCACCTTATTCTGCAGTTGAATGTTTAGTACCTACCTTCTGCCATTGTCACTTTCTCTTCCGGATAATCTACCATCATACTGGTCTTCTGGGGCTAAATATAGTCCTCCTTCCCTTATTTTCATTGCCCTTTCCATAAATTTCCATTGCTCTTTGGTGAATGCTTTGGCTGAGCAAACATGATTGTATTCTGAAGAATGTTATCAGGGCACCATGATCCCATACTTGGTGTTGTCTTCTGCTCTCACCTTCTCTACTAATGTCCAAGTCAGCGTGATTTGAAAAACCTTTGGTGGCCCAGTGGAGAGGTTTTTGATAGTACAAATAACAGGTAAACAGTAACAACAGACTTGAAAATTAAGAGTTTGAAAGATTGTCAGGAAGAGACTGTCTACTAAAATGTTAATATTCATGAATGAGAAATTAATGTCCCTTTTTTCCTATTTGAATTATTATTAATTCTTATGATTTTGAGAGCCATTATGCACATTGATAAGCTAATGAACAGTCATTTATAGAGGGATTTTAAGACAGTTTATTCCTAGGAAGGAATGCTAGCACTCTTAAAACATGGTTCACACTATTTCAAAACCCTAATTCTTGTTGCTTGCTTTACTGCACATCAGGGTGATTTCTACCTAATCCAACTGTCTAAATTAATCTACGATTTCCAATCAATCTTCTCTTTATTTGGCCTTTACTGCCACAGTATCTACAAATCTGTATTCTTGCCAACTCTACTTTAAAAAAAAGTCTATAAAGAACAATTGGGTGTTTTCAGGTTTTGTGGAGCTCTCTTAATAGTCCTGAGGCAAAATAAAAACTCTCTTTTCTTCAATATCATTTCCATTGCAGCTGATTTGTTGGCCACTTTGTGCTAGCTCCTCTGCCTGGTCAGCAGTGAGCTGCTAGAAAATTTCTTCAGGATGATGAGAAAAATAGGCTGCTGTACGTCTGTCCTCAAAAAAGGGAATTATTAGCATGCAGGGCATGGGAGGGCAGTACAGTTAGGAATGTTTAATAATGCCATAAATAAACCAACCTGATGATGGCTAGGAAAAAAGTAATTAGGACACAATCCCACACTGCCATGATGATTATATCCTTTGTCCAGCACTGAACATCCCTTAATCAGAGTAATACATTTGGTAAATAAGATAAAGTGGTCTAAAAACTTTTCTGTAGTAGGTAGTAACAAGTTACCAATAATATTTCTTTGGGATTTAGTCATTTAGCTGCAAGTTTCAGGAGGAATGGGTACCCAGGAGGTGCCATGGACTCCTTATGTTGATGTCATTTTAAAAGTTATGAGAAAAATTCTATAGCAACATTAGTATTACTTTTCCTAGACAATGCCATTTTAATTCACACCTTTATTATGTTCATGGAAACAAAATTTTACAGTACTGTGTATTAGGCAAAGTGCTTGCTCTCCACCTTCAATAACTTTGCATATGGACATAATATTAGAACAATTTAGATATGACTAGAATATTAGAAGATAATTCAGGGCATTCTAGAATCTCAGAATTCTGTTTGCCAATCTGAAGCTGGATAATTACTGCTCATATAGCTTATATCAGAGAATTTATAATGGAATAAATGGATAGGCCACAAGACCTCTGACCTAATACTTATTTTGTTTCTTTAGGATTTGGGAAGCAGTATTTTTCAAGGGCTTTGTGTATTATATTACTGGCAAGCCATTTTGTGGTATTTTGGATGAAATATGCACTTCTAAATTGGGCCCAAATGCTGCTATGAAGTCAGGTTCAGCCACACTTAAATTACTTAGCACCGCAAATAGTTCTATTGATTTTCTGAAAGATCAACAGACGTGGTTCAACAGATTGTCTGCAAGTAAGATTGTGCTTCATGTGAGTAAGGTGGTAGAAGTGCCAATAACTGAAGCACTTAATCAATTTATTTAACTGCCATTCAACCCCCATGGCCATACAAACTTATGCCAAAACTTCAGCCACTGAAACAAAAAAATCTACACCCAAAATCTGTTAAGAAATATTAGAAGTTAAATCTGTTAGTTGATTATAAATTTTTGTTTTAATTGAATTAGATTTCTTGAAAGGCCTCAGACAGAAGGCATAGAAAAAAAAAGAAATTGTTCTACTGTCATGGTTTAAGCCCAGCTGGTAACTCAGAACCATGCAGCTGCTCTCACCCACCCTCCTCTATTCCCCCCTCTGGGTGGGATGAAGAGGAGAATTGAAAGAATATAAACCCCACGAGTTGAGAAAAGAACAGTTTAATACGTGAATATAAAGCTACTACTACTAGTAACAATAATGATATGGGAAATAACAAGGGGAGAGAATATAAAACTAAAAAGGAATATAAAACTAAAGAATATGATGCACAATACAATTGTTCACCACCCAATGACCAATGCCCAGCCTGACCCAGGCCGTGACCAGTTCCTTCCAGGCAACTCCCCGCAGTTTATATCCTGGGCATGAAGTACTGTGATATAGAATACCCCTTTGGCCAGTTTGGGTCAGGTGTCCTGTCTCTGCTTCCTCCTGGCTTTCCCTGCCCCTCCTCAGTGGCAGAGAGTAAGAGACAGAAAAGTCAATCAGAGTAAGCACTACTTAGCTACAAATAAACCAATGGTTTAATGGTTATCAGCAGTGTTCTCAGACTAAAGCCAAAACACAGCACTGTATCAGCTACTAGGAAGGAAAATAACTGTTACAGCTAAAACCAGGACATCTACTACAGTCTTCAGTGCAATTATGGCTGATATCCACAAAATAGGGAATATTCAAATACAGACTGGTCCTTCCAGATTTTTTCAGCTGCAGAAAGCTGTATAGACTATGAATTTCTACAGACAATGCATCTGTCTAACTACAGCTACAAAAAATCCCCACTGATATTCCACAAAGGAAAATTCCACCCTGTTCCCAAAACTGTAACATCTGTCTCTGGTTTGGAAGGCTTGAGTTCAGGTCTTTGATTTTCTCTGCCGCAGGTTGGAAAGATTACTACATTGGAAAGATTTTTTCAATGAGGTCTAGTGATTATGCCTTTGTTTCAGTTATCTCTAATATGAATGTAATATGTGTCATATAAATACTGTAGATAAATGATTTATTTTTTTAAATGCACACATATACACATATATACTCTAAATAGAAAATTTTTCCAGAATTATAATTGTTTTGCAGACAGTTTTCTGAATGAAGGTATCTGTTACTGCCATGGGTTTCCCACTTAAAGCAGATGAATACAGAAGTGAGATTGATAAAAACATAAAGTTGGAAAATCTGTCTTGTGGGCATTCAGGTGGAATCCACAGCCTTATATGAGATACTACAGGCCTCAGCATAAGAAACAGAAAACATGGAATCCACATCAGCCACCAAGTCCCTAGAGAAGGAGCAGTGTATGTCGAGTACCAGATCTAGTTAGCGTGTATGGCTTAGGTCCTGGCAGTCCCCCCAATGGTCAAGCCTGACCAGACACTTAGGCAAAGTAATCCCCCATTTCTAGAGCACAAGCTTTTCAGCTCTGCCAGAAAAATAAACATTCCTCTGCATAGGGAGAAGTAAAGCCATAGGCATCTAAAGTTCTTTGAGGGCCACAAGAGCATCATCTAATTAACATACACCCTCAGAGACAGATGACAGCTGAATAAGCTTTTTCAGAATTACAGTGGTACATAGACACTAGCTAAGGTCCACGTTAGATTCCCATATCATTTGGGTTTTTTTTATCAAGATCTGGACTTTTTTTTTTTATTGCTCTGATAGACCGTTAACACTTTTTTCAAATGATTTCACACATATTCTTTCAATATATCATTTAGGATCTCCTGGTGCATGCTAAGCAGAATTTATAATCTCTTTTCTATCAATCCTAAAATGTTACTTGCTGCCCTACTACATGGGAACTGAAAATGTTTTTTTAGCATCTTACATATGATAGAGCTTTATAACTTTTTAGGTTATTGAAAGATATTAGACTAAAAAAATTATTACAGTTTTGCTGGTATAAGGTACTGGTCTTTACGGGTCTTGTCTGACAAAATCTATGATGATAACACAGCAGATCAATAAACTCTTCTTTCATAAGAATGACAGACTTTGTTTATACCCACAAATTTAGTGCCATCAGTAGTTGTCAGTCCTTTCCATGTTGGTCAGTTGTCTTTATCTCCCGGATGTATGGCATCAGTAATATAGGTTTTCTCGGAGCCTAGCCTCTAGTCCTGCTTCAGAGAGGTCCCCCAAGAACTTGCTGCCTGTGTGGCTTGAGACAACATGTTGCAGAAATTCACATCTATCTGGGCAGTGATCAGGCTTTGGTCTTCAGCAGGCCATAGAAAATTTTGCACTGAACAATGCAACTTTTGAAGGGTTTGAACAGAAGCTGTCTGCACGAAAATCAGGGGAAAAGAAAACCACCCCAAAAAACTGTGTCAGGAGGAAATAAATCTAGTCATCAATACATAATCACGCTTGAAGAACAGAGCCACACTGGTTGAAAACATAGCTTAGCGAGGACCTGCTCTGAACTACTATGCAGTGTTATGAAAATAGTAGCTGGGAAACAGAAAGGAAGTAAATACATTCATTTATTCTGACAGTCATAACATCCTTGTATCATCTTGGTGGAAAGTTACAAAAGATGTCTAAAGAGATTTTCAAAAGACTTCTAAAGAAACCTCACTCAAGGCTTACAAAGAACAAGGCTCAAGGCCAACTTGTCTTGGAAAGACAAGTCAGCATATTGCACTGTAAGAAATCCATGACAGTCTCTTAACATCATCATGTAATAGGTTCCTGAGAAACCAAATCTTATCAGTCTCTGGCATTATGCAAATTTCTGTCATAATCTCAATCTGTAGGCTTCGAGTCCTAATCAAACTGCCTTCAGATTCACAGTTGGCGAGCCTCCTATTGAAATTGCTTTCCTATCCTCCATTTACTTGTCCAAGGAAGTTCTGGGGGTTGGCATGGCATCAGAAAGTCTTGATTTCATGTGAACATTTTGATTTGTAAACAAGTCCAAGGTCACTACAATATATCTCACATAATAAATTGTAATTAGTACCTTT